ATATGTTGAGCTATACGGTACTTTCCAATGAACTGATTTGGACTTTTAATTTTAACAGTTCAATCTTTCAAAAAAGATGAAATGATTAAAAGTGAATTTATCTTTCACAACTTTGTCTGATTGCAGTAACTAGTAAAATTAGAAATCTGGAAGATCAAATCAAAGACGCAAAAGGTGAAGTATCCGATTTGGAATCAGAATTGGATGGAGCCCGCAATCAAATTCATTCCCTTGAAGATCAATATTCGTTGCTTCAAAGTGAGCTCAATAAAGCGAAACATGATATGGATTCCTTGCTTCGTGAAAACGATTTGCTTAAGGTAGTTTGTGAATTCAAGAATTTATTTATTCGTTATTAAATTCAATCGTATGCAAAGACAATAGCGCTGGGTTTTTATTTTAAGCTTTATTCACCTATTCATACTGCACTGCTATTAAATAACTTGTTATTCAGCAGATTAGATGAAAGTTTGATTTTTCATAGTACATAAGCGCAATTGAACAATTCAATATCATATATGCAAGAAGAAATATGTATTGTTAGGTCACAAATGAGTCAAATGAAGCTGAATTGGGTCGTTTGAACAACAAACTTCATCAAACTACAGAACTGGCAAAAGAACATGCTGACACTCTTGGCAAGCTAAGACCTGAAGTAAGTTTAAAAGTTTTTCAAAGATTGAAAGTCCATACTGATTAACTGATCATACTATTGATAGATTTTACAATTATTTCTACAAATTAAAATGTATTGTTTGGTATTTTTCAGCATGATCGCTTGCAAAATTTATATCGTGAGAAAGTAAAGCAAGCAGAAAATCTTTCATTATCAGTTCAAAACTTGGAATCACGCTTGAGTCAATTACGCCGAGAATTTCGTGATGCCTCCAATAAGGTTTTCATTTTGTGGATAAGTACTCAATAAATTTGATATAATATTACTTCTCACTTTTTTAATTTAAAAAACATTTGATTAGTCATGTTTAATGTCTCTGACAGATTCTCATGCTGTATTGTCATTGCCTTGTTGTAATTACCAAAGTTAGGATAATTCATCTGTTTCAGTTAACAGTAAGTGAAAGAGAACGCAGTGCTTTCGAAAATGAAATTACAAAAATGAAACATGAGCTAGAATTTACGCGTGAACAGTTAGTACGGAAAACAGATGAATTCCAGTCTGCCCTAAATGAAATAGTTAGTGCTCATCGACTAGCTGAAGATGGCCGTGTGACTGCTGTACAAGAATTAGAATCTCGTAAGTACGAAATCAGTGATTTACAAGTAAGTTATGACTATTTAACTTTCATGATTGGTATTTTTCTTGTAAAATTTGTAAAAACAAATGAGATGACAAGTTTTACTATAATTGAAGCTTATTTAATTTATAAAAAATTGAAATTCATTTTGTTTACTAGTCATTGATAGATCATTGATAGTATTATTAAACTGGTAATAATGTCGACCATCATCTTTCATACTGTTTTTTCAAATGACCACAGTTAATGTTTACTGCTCAGTTGCACTAATTGTCACTTATCATTAGTGAAATTTGTCTGTTAAAAACATGTGTTTTATTGATCTCATCACTGAAATATAATTGTTGAATGTCATTCAATGAGTGATAATAAAACATGAAACATCTATAATCGTATTTAACAAATTATGCATAGGATTCGTAAAATCTGTGTTTGAAATTCGTTGACTTATTTAAAATTACTTTATTGTGATAATTTTTCATTTTTTTTTTGTCATTTTAGACTCGATTAGAAAGTACTGAGCAATATTTGTTGACTTTGCAACAAAACTATTTGGTTGCGCAAAATGATCGTGATGTTCTTCAAGATGCACTGCATCGGTTCCAGTCAATGGTTGAACGTACAGTTGCTATCAACCGACTGCTGACTAGTAAAGTAAGCGTGGCATCAGCAACTTAATTCTTTCGTTTGCTTAAATTAAACTTTTCACACTATTAGTGAAATAATAAAAAGTGCATGATAAAAAATTGAAGGATGAGAAAGAGGAAGATGAGAAAGAAACAATACAATTACAACGCTCAACTGATGAAAAAGGTTGAATTTTATACAATTTGTAATCGTTACTTGTTAAACTACTATAATGATAATTATGTAAAATATTATTTTTGTTAGAAAAAGGAAAAGATAGATACAATATGCATGAATTGGATTTGAATGTTCAGAAGCTAATTGGACGTATCGAGAATTTGGAATTAGAAAGAGTAAGTTCCAACTCTTCTTCCTTTTATTTTTTCATGCAAGATGATGCAATTGTATGAAGTAGTTGTTATGGCAATCAAATTACACAGTTAAGATGTTTTTCCAAGAGACATTTTCTTAATATCACTGTAAAAATGAGGCAAAATTCATACGCAAATTTAAAATGTGAAAATTGCAAAGAAGTATATATAGGCAATAATCTTCAATTTCTTTTTTTGATACAAACTTTAGAACAGGTGCATGCGGGTCCCATTTGATTTTACAGAATATATTTGTTTCTAAATTTGATTCTAGAATGAATATCGTGAAGCATTTGAACGCTTGAAGAGAAAGAGTAGTAGCAGTGTTGATCAAACACATCTTACCAAAGTTAGCAAGCAAGAGACCGTTTTCAGACATATCGAGGATCAGCTTGTCGATGTTGAAGAAGGTAAATTTAGTCTTTAAATTGATATCCACAACGCATGCAAAATGAGTTTAAATTGTGATTTTCGTGCATTACATAGATCTTGAAGTAATTGATAATAGATGTTTGATGTTTGATTGGATATGTAAGAAAAATTATTAACTCCAACTCATTGTTCCACTATATATTACTGTCGATTTGTGATTGCTCGTTACGGCAGTTTTATGCTTTATCGTTAAAAATATGCAAATATATTTATAGACAAGCGAACGTTGGAAATGCGACTCTCTTCAGCCAAACAACTTTTACGCTCACAAGAAGAAGCATTAAAACAACGCGACGAAGAACGACGTAGTATGAAATCAAAAATAGCAAACTTCGAAATGGAAGTGCGTGGAAAAGAAGCGCAAATACGCCAATTAAATGTAAGAAGAAATTTAAGTGGAAGTCAAACTTCATATTTATAATTAATAGTTCAAACGTGTGCGAAAATGTAGCGATAACTACAAGCTTGTAAATTGATGACTGGATTTAGGAACTTGTTCGAAATTTGAGGAAAGATTTAGAAGCAGCTCAAAGTGACCTCCAAGTATTACGTGATCACGAAGAACAATGGGATGTGCATAAATTCCATTTAGAAAGCAAGTTGAAAGATCAAGAAAATGAATCACAGCAAATTAACGTATTGTTATCGAATTTCGAGATGGAAAGAAATGTTTGTCTTTTTACTTTTATGTTATATTTCTGGGTAATACTGAAAAATATTATAAACATGCAGATTTGCTTTCATTTATGACAATTTAATTCAGTTTCAATTGCTTTACAAACTTCTTATACTAATATGCAATTAATAAACTTTTAATTAATGATTCATTATGGCCTGGAGTAAACGAATAATTGGTGGATAATTATCATACTTCACAATATTTTTTTTTGCAAGTGTTTTATATTTTTTACGTGTATTAGGACTTCTGTCCACAGTTTTTCAAATCTTTAAATTTACGGTTTTTTAAATCATTTTGTTATATTTACAGACATTGAATGAGAAGATTCGTGATCTTGCCAGTCGACTTCAACAAAGTGAAAGTAAAAATACAGATATGAAAGATGATTTTGATCGTATCAAAAAGGCTCTTGCAAAAGCATCAACTACAGAAACAGAACTTCGTCGAACAATTGAGCAGAATTCTCGTACTCTTAGTGATAATCAGATGCTCATTGGCCATGTAAGATAACTTTGGCTGGTTTGTCAATTGTTAAATACTGCATAAATCTGTCGTATTATTATTGTCATAAATTTTATTTTTATTCCTTTTATTACTCCGAAAAAAAATCAATAGTAAATGTTTAACAAAAAAAAAATAACGAAAAATGAAAAAGCAAGTTAGAAGGAATTTGTAAATGTGTAAAGAATGTGCTTTTTTTTTTAAAAAAACTGTTAATTTAATAGAATAAGTTTATGACGATGACTTGTATATTTATCAATTTGAATTTAGCTTAAAAATCATCAGTAAGTTTATTTCGAGATTCAAAATTTACAGAAGTCATTTATAAAAAAGTTTATATTTTATAGCTTACCAGTGCTCAAGGTGATTTCCAAGCAGTGAACAACCGCAAACAGCAAGTTGAAAATGAATTATTATTAGCTCGTTCCGAATTGCGTGAGCTTAAGCAGCGATTAAGTGATAGTGGAATGCACGTCTCAGATATGCAACGACTTCTTAATGATGCTAAGATTGACAACAAACGTCTTTCTAATCGATTACTTAATATGGAAAAGGTTGGTGGATTTTTTACCAATCATAAAGAAGTGAGATTCTTTTATTTTTGATGACTTCTGTTTATTTAATCACATTAGTAATGAGTGAAAAATATTTTTGAAAGAATTACAAAGGATTCGTTATATTGCAATATTATATAATAAAATCATGTCTGTAGCAATATAAGACTGATTTCTGCAAAGCTTTGAATAACTGATTATGTTTTGTACCAATAAGAATCGATTCTATATAAAATAATACGTATAATTTTTATCAGTCTGTAATTTTGTATGTTAAGTTCTGATTGCAAGAGATCACTAAAAGAATGAGATTTGCTACATTATAACTGAAGCTACCTTGTAGACAGTATCACAACAACGAACTACTGAAGCTGAAATTCGTCAACAATTATCGGGAGCATTAAACGATCGTAATACGTCCCAAAATGAATTAAGTGAAGTACTGCGACGCCTGGCACGTTTGGAAAATGAAAAGAAAATTATTAGCAGTAAATATGATGAGATGGAAAAAACTCGTGCAACTTTAATCCGACGTATTGATCTTGTGAGTAGTAATTTTTTGTATTTTTTTGAATATTTCACCGTAATTTTTGAAAAATAATTTAAGAATAAATTTTGTTCTGAAAATTTTCAATAAAACTTCAAGTTTACGCCGTGAAATTAATTAAAATAAGTATCTAAGTTTTTTCCTCATATTCCGTTTGACTTTTGAGATTCTATACTACTTTTTATAGGTTTTTTTATTTGCACAGAATTAAACATTTTTTTGCAGCTTCCAGTGTGGTTTTTATGAAGAATGATGGTTTCAGTTTTTCAAACTTTCTTCACTTCAAAAAAAATCGACTTTCGTTTCTTATCTTTTAATCATTTTGCACTCTAATTGACTTTGAATCAAATATAAAACTTCTGTGCAATTCTTATGTAGTTACTTTTAGTTGGAGGCAGAAAAACGTATGGCTGAGAATATTTTGCATGAAACAGCTTTACAACGTGAAGCAATCGAAAATTCATTGAATGCATTAGAACGCGAAAACAAAGTTGGTGTTGTAGCTATTTGCTTTATCATACTTTTTGCGGAATTTTAAGCGAAAAAAAATAGTAAACGATTCCAAATTTAAACAAATATTTTTAAGTGTTAACACTCCAGAAAGTGAAAAAGTAGGTAACAGTCTGTATTCTTTTCTCATTTCACGTAAAATGAAGTACTTTTTATTTTTGAAAATCAAATTTATTCATTTTGCTTTTCATAGGAACTGCACCACAGCTGTGCTCAACTACAACAGCAAATTGCACAGCTTGAACTAGACAATGGTAATCGCTTGGTACGTATTACGAATAAACAACGAGAAGAACATGAGAAATTCGTACAAAATATGAAAACTGAAAAATTACAGGTAAAGTGTGCTATTTCGGACTCTAACATTGAATGCAAATATTTTTACTTAATTATGTAGAAATTTTTATCTAATTAAGATGACTAATTTGCTAATTTTAGTAGCTATAATTTTGCATTGTTGGTTGCACTGAAAAGTGATATATTTTTCAATTTTTTTTCCGAATGAAATTATTCTTTTTTAATGCTATTTTAGATTGAACGAATAATTGAAACTCGTGAACGATCTCTAAAGAGCCGTATTAATCAACTTGAAAATCAGCTTAATGTTATGCGTGATCAACTTAACAACGAACGTCGTAAGCGTCGAGAAATTGCGGATAAAATATTTACGGGGGAAATGAATAAGCTCAATGTGAGCTTTTCGGGAAGTCAGCGTGGTTTTGATTTTGCAGAGTATGTTTCAATTATGTTTTGAAATTAAGGATGCATTAAGGAATAATTGCGGCTTTTACAGCAGTTTGATGAAAAATTAAGTATAGTTTGGTAACCAAACTATATAATTTTAAAGTTTGGTAACCAAATAATATTGTTGAGGTGATATGAATGTCTTCTTTTTGATTGAAATAATAATTTTTATTTCTTTAGCCGAAGCTCATATTCATATAATACATATTTGGGTACACCTTCCTTTACTTTTGGTTCACCTGGTCAGGATGTAAGCTTCACGGATGATACAAAAATGTTTTTGAGACATTCCGGTTTGTATTCTCTTGTTCATTATATTGTCGTAATTCATAAAATTTGATAATCAGTATTTCGCCTTCTATTCACTATTATATTGAAAATATATACCAAAAAGTGAAAATGATGTCAATGAAAAAAGATTTTAATATGTGTAGTTGATTGTAAAATTATGCAGTTTTTCGTGTAATTTTTATACTTTATGCTTTGTGTAACTAAGGCATGTTTAATTATATTGAAAAAAAACATATAATTTGATAATTTATGAAGTAGATCTAATAGGCAAAACAAATACGAAAATTAGTGGTGACAAAAAATGGTAATTTTTTTCTTTAAATAAGTTGTAAGAATTGCTAAACTGTATTTATAATTATTGGCTATTACAGAAGAGCATGATAGCAGTCTCTCATATGGAAAAGGTAATCGTATTTTCGGCTCAGCAGTAGCAGCAAGTGTGGGAAGTGATAGTTTCAACGCAAGTGCCGAAGCTGAGAATGGACTGCGTCAAGAAGCAGGAAGTAACAAGGAAATAGAAGAAGAAGAAGAAACAGATTCCGGTAAGCGTAGCAAGCAAGTCGATGATGATGCTGAAAGTGGTTCATCACCGTTAAGTGAAGCTGGCGAAGGTGCGCCGCCACCTGAGCAGTAACATCAGGTCCATCCAGATATAATCCCCCCCAAACACCTTATACTGCTACTACCTAACACTGACATCGCTCATCAACAACAGCTACTAAACAATACGCACTCTTCTTCTTAACGTTGCAGTGACTTTCTACTCACTTATCTATTCATAATAATAATAATTTATTATGAGCAGATAAGTGATTATTATTTATTTTTATTATTATTATTGTCATTAATATTATTATTATTATTATTATTATTATTATTACTCAGTGATAATAATGATA